TTACCTCTATCTTTGATCCTTTACAACATATTTCGCTTCGAGGTTGACACCCCAAGGTTACTAGTAATCTCGGGATTACTATCTTCTCTGGGAAGCTGGTGGTGACTAGGATTATTCGATTTACACAGATGGGCGGGTTGTTACCAATGTTTATCTCCGATTTGGTTGTCACCAATAATCTTTGAAAGTCTAGTAGTCACTAGCATTATTTAGAACCAATTATGGTTGGTGTCTCGATTTGGTCGTCACCAACAATTTTCCAAACCCAGTTGTCACTAATTCTGTTATAAAGCCCACCAATCGTTATTGGAGTCCTTTTGATTCGGTTATTACCAATCTTTGCTAAAATCTAATGGTTACTAGTATTGCCTATTAAAACCAATGGTCATTGGTACTTGATTTGGTCGTCACCAAAATTCCTTAAAAGTCCAATAATTATTGGCACCGCCTTCAAATCCAGTTGTTATTGATACCTTTTGATTCGGTTATTACTAATCTTTCTGAATCTAGTGGTTATTAGTATTACCTTCAGATCCAATTGTTATTGGTACCTCTTGATTCGGTTATTACCAATCTTCTAAGTCTAGTGGTCCCTAGCATCGTTTAGAAAATCTAGTGTTTACTAGCATTATCCAGAACCAGTTGTTATTGGTATACCTTTGATTTGATCGTCACCAGTTGGCCTAAGTCCAATAGTTATTGGCATCGCTTAAATCGGATTGTTATCATCACTTTGGTCTGGTTGTTACTAAACCCTCTGGAAATCCAGTATTTATTTGGCATTACCCAAATCCAATGGTTATTGGTCTCCTTGGGCTCGGTCGTTACCAATCTCTCCAGTTAAATCTAGTGGTTACTAGCATTACCCGGAATCAATTATTATTGGTACACCCCGGTTTGGTCATCACCAGTCCCCTCTAAGTCCAGTAGTTACTGACATTGCTTGAAAACTAATCGTTATTAGTCAGTTGTTACCAACTTCCCTAGCCGAAGTCCTGTGTTTTATCAATATTTGTTTGGAATTCCCAATTGTAATTGGAACTTTGATTTGGTCGTCACCATACCCCCAGGAAGTCTAGTGGTATTTAGCACTTTTTGGAAACCGTTTGTTGGATTGGTCTTCACCATTATCCCCAGTAAGTCTAGTGGAAACTAACATTAGTTGAAACTGTTTGTTGTTCTGGTCGTCACCGATATCCCCATTGAAGCTTTTGCTTTCCCAGTCGAGTCTCGGAGAACTAGTGGATACTAGCTTCCCCGACGCGTCCGGTATTGTTTCTAACCTTTTCCTGAAGATCCCGTTTGAACTCTTCATTATTGGAAATTTCTCATCTGGTCATCCCCAGTGAAGTTCGTGTCTTCGTTCCGTCGTTTCCCCGGTGAAGGTTTGCTTCCCCAGTGGAACTATTCCCCAGCAAAGTTTGCCCCAATGGGTTTCTTCCCCAGTGAGGTTTGCGTTTCTTTTCTTTCGTTTCCCCCAGTGAAGAATTGCCTTCTTCCCCAATGGGCTTCCTTATCTGGTTTTCCCCAGTGAGGTTGGTGTCTCCTTTCCCCAGTGAAGATGTGTTTTCCCTGGTGGAATTTGTATCCCCTGTGTGAAAGATTCCCTTGAACAACATCTTTAGTCATGTTTGAACTATCTTGCTTACTTTACCTTGAATCTTTCCCCAGTGTGTTGGGTCCCTCGTGAGTGGTTACTCATCGTATTGCCGTTCTTTTATATTTGCTCGTGTGTCTGCATCTGTCTTGCATTCAAGCATCATAAAATACCATTTAGAACTCATCTGCATTTCAGCATTTGTCCTTTTGCATACCATCAGATCTAAGGGACAAAACTTCTGGTTTGCTATATTTAAATACCTTTCACTACGATTCTGTGAGGATTGTCATCTCTCATTGCCATCTAGTGAAGATATTTAAATAGGGGCAACTGTTGCACCCCAAATTTTAACCCCCGAATCTCTTAGCGTTGTTGTTACATCGCGAAAAGGGTTTTTCTTTCTTTAGACCTTTTCTTTGGATAAATTAAAGTCCGGTTGTGAATTCAGGAATTAAGATTCAAGTTAATCAATAGCTTGGTATCACGATTCTCACCGCAACATAGAGCATGCCAACCTTTCTTGAGTCTTGCAATCTTGTAGACTCTAGCTGACAAGCTGATAAGACAATACAACTTGATTTATGCAATACAGACAACCACAACTTTATCACCAACTCTGAATGGTACCAGATGCTAATATGCAAATACCAACCTTAGTAACTCGTCTGAATGTTGAGGCCTTCAACTCAGAGTCTGCGCCAAACCACACTAGTAATTGTTCTTTAGACTCTGCCACTAGAAGCTAGCAATTAAGCAACTCCCAAGTGCGTTCATGTAACACAGATTCTAATTATTTATATACAATGATGTAGAACCTGCATAAGTAAAACACACATCAAATAAACTATTGTTATTTCAATACTTTGTTATCATCAAAACTAAAAGAGAATATGTCATGAACAAATTTTGTTCTAACAGATCCATCCACTCTGGGTTATATGTATTGGGATAAAAGTTTCCATGGTAATTATTCACATGATTGAACAACATATTTTTGATAGATTCCATGTATACCACAAAAGAAACAATAGAAAAGAAAAAAAAATCTATCTATGATAACAGATTAGAATAATCAAAACGAGTTCCTCGCATACAAGGGGAGCAAAAGAACTACAACAAACAAACACAATAAAATAAACAAAAAAATAAGCTCTAGTCTCTATGATGATCAGACAAAATTTTAATATTAACGCAATTGGTCCTCGACAACGGTGCCAAAAACTTGACACGCTGCAAGTGAACGACTATTGTCAGAGTAGTAAAAAGTATCGAACCACGTAGACTAACAGTTAAGTACTAATTTCTATCCTATCAGTGTAAAGCTAGAGTGACCAAATAATGGACTTTGAAAACAACATAAAGAGAAAGGCAATTATAGCAAAACAACTTAAAAGCGGGTGATGATTATATAAAGCAAGCATGACATATGGTTATGACTCCTATCCTAGACTTCTCCACATGACCTAAGCACTTATATTACGAGAATTCTGACTCAATTTATAAAAAAAATTGTTAAAATAGCAACACCAACTCTTTGCCAACCCCTAACGAACGGGACATTCATCGGCTCTCACTCACTCAGAAACGTTCTATAGCGGTCTTTAATTTTGCGCAACTATTAAAGATGGAGAATTTCTCAATTTCCTTCGATCACTCTCATGATTCATATTTAACTGTTTAAAAATCTGCTTTTTTGGTATTGTCTATACCCTCTCGGCGCAAGTCAAATAACTAAAGGAAATACTCCTAGTCTCGTAGCAAGTTTTGAAAAACACTCATACTTTTAAAATAAAGAGTACGGAATTTCTAGAACTAGCCTAGATCATGTAAATAATCAGACGATAGTGTTCATAACCCTTAGTCCCCAGAGGACTATTCACTCATATTCAAGAATAATTCAATCACAACAATAATCGTGAATAAATACATGATCATTAGACGAATGATTAAAGTAATAATTAAGAACTTGATTAGTGGAAAAGAAATTCTCTTATTAGAAGTTGATACAGGTGCTCCAATGGAGACTTGTAAAAAATTGCAGAATAAAATAGTGTGAAAACAAAACGAAAATTAAAAACTGGATAAAAACTTAAGACTACCTATGAGTTTTCATATAAGTTCTAAACATGGTAAGAATTTCCTAATGTTCAATGCCAATTACAAACCATGAAAATCAGATCCAAGTAATCCAAAGCCTTAAAGCAGAGGGAATCGGGCCGCAAAAGGAAATAGAATGGGAAAAACTCGTTTACCTGTTACGGGTCGTGCCTGTAACATGCCTATGTTTTTTGTATGGAGACGCCTCAAAATTGGTTTTGTAGTCCTCTATGTAAGCTTTCATTTGCCGTTAGTCTCACGTTGATTCGATTTACGACGCTCAAGATATGATCAAAATACCATTGATCTATCATGATGTGTAACATGCTAACAATTCATCGCGTTCTTTTTCTGCGTTTTATCCACTTCTCGTCCTTTTTTTGCTTGAAATACTTATTATGACATGAAAACAAAGGAAATACGATACCAAAACATAAAACATGGTAAAATAAATAAACAAAAGCGAATGAAAACGGTAAAATATATATAAAAAAACTAATAAAAATCACTTATCACGCTTGAAAAATATTATAACATTTAACAACACTTTTGTCAAATATATATATTTTGCGGAATTCGTGATTAGATTAGATTGAAATATATATAAATTTTTAAGAAAAAAAAGTATGAGCCAAGAAAAAATACTTAATGATCGTTTGAAATTGTTAAGGTGTATCGAAGACGAAAAGTTGTTAACTAAATGACAAATTATATTAAATAGTTATTTTTTAATAATTCTCAATTCCCTATTTTAAAATGCTAATCAAAATTAACATCTTAAATAATTATATTATATAATTTCAATATTTATACATCTCAATTACATATTAAATTATTTCATTTTTTATATAATTTATAAATATAAACTTTGAATCTAACAATAAATTTCATAGACCAAATATTTGATTTAAAAATATTAAAAAAATTAACTAAAAAATTACATAATTTGATTCTTCATCTTGCTACGAACTTGCAACTTAGTTTTAAAATTATGTTTGATTTGAAAATAGTTTAGAATATATTAGAAAAATTTGTTTCTTAATTTACAAAATCCACTTGCAAATATTTAGACAAGTGATGAATCATTACTCAAAGTCCATAGTAATAGATCTATTTGTTAATTAAAACTATTAATATTAATAAAGAAAATATATGTTTTATTCATTAATGAAACAAAGTACATTAAGATACAAAATGAAAATAAATCAAAGCAATAAAACATAAATTAAACAAAAGAGTGACCATGAAAACATGATGTCACAATATATGTCTAATGTGATTTTTATTAAGTAGGCAGAAGATCTTAAAGTTTAAGATTCAAGTCGAGTTCCTTCAATGTTGATTCACTTGTTGATGATGAGCCCACATTCGTCTCTGCTAGAAGTTGACTTCCTCCAATAAAATCATGAGTTTTCATTGAAAGGTCATAAGAAGAAAATTGAGCATCTGAATTTCTTTTTGTACCCTCATTAGACGAAGGGGTTTGATTAGCTTGAACAAAAAAATCCAATTCTACAATGTTTTTCCCTTGAGTAATGGACATTGCGGAAGTTTGATTTCCACCCAAAAAATCAATCATTCCAAAGTCTAGTGGTGTGAGTGGTGGCTTTGAAATTTGCATCACCAGTGGAGGTGGTGGAGAAGGTGTATTTGGCATATACATCCCTCCATAACCATCAGATGGAGAACCAAGCCAAGAAGGGGCGATATTATTCATTTGAGTGTTGATTGGGTGTTGCAAGTTGCTACAGAAAGAATGATATCCTTGATAGTGAATAGGGTCTGAATGAGGATAAGAGTATACAAAACTAGGTCTATAACTTAGGACAGAATTCATTTCTTCTTCATTTGTTTTTTGCTCCATTTTTTTTAAGTCACGCTCACGCTTATGGGCGTTTTGGTGTCCTCCAAGAGCTTGTGGAGATGAAAATTTCTTGTTACAAAAAAGACAAAGAAATTTTTTCACTTCTTGCTTAGGTAAAAAATCAACAATAAAATTTTGCGATGAACTTGAATGTTCACCTTTCTCCAAGAGATTGGAAGTTGGCTTAGTGTTGCTGTCAAGTCTTGGAGTCAACAGATCTTTAGATTGAATGGATGGTGTTATTACCCTGAGTTCTTTTTGCAATTTTGGCTCTGCCTCTTCTACCATTTTACCCTTCTCAGAATCAGCTTCAGAGAATGTTATTATATTCTTTGATTCCTTCCTTAGTCTTGCCTTTGATTCTTCAATCATTGTGTACTTTAAGATTTTGTCTTTAATATTTCCGATAGAAATTCTTTCAGACATTTTTTTCAAAAGCACCAAATAGAAGATTGAGAGTTTTTTTTAGTGAGAATGCAAATTTGTGTGGTTTGATGATTACTAGTGAGTAGTATTTATCCTTAAAAAAAACTATCTTAAATATTTATACAAAAAAAAAAACACGTAAGAAAGAATTTATTCTACGGTCAACAAGAAATAGGACTTTTAAAAAAAAAATATTATTTATTAAGGGCAAGTTTGAACAATCAAATGACTTTGGTTTTTATTTATTTATAAATATGATATATATTTATTTTAGATCTATAAACTAAATAACAAATAAAATTATAAATTTATACACTTAAGATGAAATACATTAAGATTCAAATTTGAGACACAATAAATAAAATATGTGATCTAACAAAGATGGAGTATTATCGTTTGAATTGTTTATATACAAAATTATTATTATAGAGTAAATGAAGCAATGAACAATAACACAAACTTGATCTTTTTACATATGATAGTTTTACACAAATGAATTTATGACATGCAGTGGTAATAAAATCATATTTATTGATGCTACTTTTGCATATGATTGTTTTTGTCGGTGATTTATCTTTTTAACTTTTACATGTTTTAGAAAAAAATTATTATTCAATTCAGTCATAAGTCAAAAATAGTAAATCATTTTAATTCATTATTTACTGTAGTGTCAAATATGTATATCCTTTTAGAATATGAGTACCCTATAAACTAGTTTCCTTTTATTTTGATACTAGCCGTTAAGACATTTTTAATTGATAATCATGAATGTTGAATATGAATATTTTTTATGCATAAACACTATAATGTTAATAAGGTTCATCTTAATGAATTGTTTAATCTTTTTTTACTAAGACTTCAGTTTGACTTTCTATTTGAGAAAGTTGAATTGAATTGAAATTCAACTATTTAGTAAGAATTTGTAATTTAACTTAATTTAAAGTTAGAAATATCTATTCATTTGTGGAGGATATAATAAAATTGAATAGAAAATTATTAATGAAAAAAGAAAATAAAAGACAAATAGAGTTGAGAGATTCTTCTAGAAGTCTTGATCATAGTCCATCTCTCCACTATCATGTCATGAGAAATTGGAGAGGGTGCGTCAAATACTAGATGGCGAGTTCACATCAAAGGCTACTTGCGAAGTGACTGAAAAAATTGTAAGTAAATACTTTTTCAACATAACGTTAATTGAATTTGGTAAAGATGAACTTTTATATGTGTTGTGTGGGATGTACTGGTTGAACAATTCAAAGTTGGTATCTTCATTCCACGGGATTGTCATGACATTTTGGTATAAGCGATTGGAACCGAGGAGCATGTTGAACGTGTATGTGGTCTTGGAAGAGGTGTCGACTTGAAGTTGCATTTTCAACAATTGCAATCAATTAGCGAAGTAACTCATAAGAGAAATTTAATTGTTATGTATTTTTGTATTCAACCACCCAATTTTAGATCAGTTGGACTTACAGGAGAAAATAGTTGAGTATGTTGTTATTGGTGGTGCAAGCACGAAAGTTAATTGTTCTGCCATACAAAACAATATTGAGACCACACAACTTCAACTAGATAACACTCATAGACTATCAATGATGATAGAGAAGATTCCTGACATTTTCGATTTTACATTAAGAAATGAACCAAAACATTATTTTATACTTCATAAGAGTTGTCTTATGGAATTTTTGAAGGCAAATGATTAGTTGGACATACCCATACTACAATTGTGGTGCTCGTGAGTATAATTTTTATCTTGATTTCAATTTATATTCATTGTTATCATACTTTAACATAAATATTTGACTTTTGCGTTAACTTTTAATTAGGTTCGTGCATGAGACGCGTGTTGAAAAAAAATTAAAAAAAGCATTGTTTCTTAGATCCATTAAACATTCAATTTCAAGGTATGGGATGTGTGCAAAATATCCCCAAATTCATAACCGTAACAGAATTCATTTTAAATATCTAGATATAATGAAATGATTATGAAGACAAACTTCTCCAAATGATAGTTTTGATGAAGACAAACTGCAAGAATCTGCTCATGTAAAAAAGAATGGATCAAGACTCATGTTCCTGACATTGTCATGACATTTGCTGAGACATCCAAAGGGAGTTCAAAGACAGGAAGAGCTGAGGTTATTGCCATGCTCAAAGAAACATGCAAGGAGTAAGAGATAAGGAAGCAAAATCTTGAAAAGTTGATCAGGTCTCTTGAGTAAGATGAAGATACTGAGTTTACTGAAAATGATGAGGACAAGGATGATGATGGTTCTGAGGAGGATAATGACCAGGAAGCTGAATCAGAAGAAGCTGCTGTCAGTTATGAGGAAGACTCTGATGAAGAGGGAGATAGTGATGAAGCTGGCTCTGAGTCTAATGACTAAAGTTCTTTGTTTGCTTGCTTTAGGACAAATGTTATTTGTGAACATCTTTTATGTATTTGTGTTGTAATAACCCTCTAAATCAGTGTTTCTAACCTTATTTGATATGTACTATTTGTTTAGTTATGATCTAAATTTGTGGCTAAAAAGGGGGAGAAGTGGTAGTAGTAGTAGTAGTAATTGAACAACAAGTTTAGTTGTGGGTAGATATGTTCCTTACAGGTGGAAGATATATGCTGCTGTGCATGTTTGCACTGAGCAGATGTGGAGATATTTTGCTGCTGCTCTGAGTGTGTTACAGGTTTGCTGCTGCTGTGCATGTTTACACTAAACATGTTTGCAGGTGTGCTGATGATATGATTTTGTTAAGAGTTTGTGTGTTCCTAGTTGGAACTAAGTAGCTATCCTAGCTGTTGTTAGGAGTTTGTGTTTCTGCAGGGTCGTTGCAGAATGTGTTTGGCGGTGCATCAGTTGAGGGGGAGTAGCACAGGATGTTCCACTCCAAGTTGTGACATCTGTAGTCTAGAATAACAGGTGATAGTTGTGTGCTGTGGAACATGTGTTTTTCAGGATGTCATCCTATAAGTTTTGAAATCCAGAACAGACTGTGTATGTATGTGTGAATAGGTTGATCATGAGTGGCTGGAAGCTGATATTGTGAGTGTGTAGATAACATTGATACTGTGTATGTTGATTGGTAGTATTAGCTAATAGCTTTCCTGCATGATTAGATATTTGGTATGAACTTTTCTGCTGCTTGTGATCTCTGATATGTTGACAGAGTGTTTTAGCCAAAAATTTGCCAAAGGGGGAGTTTGTAGATGTTTTTGATTGGCTGCATTTTGTGGCAAGACATTGATGTATGTGTGAATGTCATGACTGATGTTATGACATACATGAGGAGTGTACTGCAGGGTAAGTTTGGATAGCTAGAGCAAAGTATGTTGGATGTTATGACATCAAGTAGTTGACAGTAGGGCGCACACTTTAGTTTTCTGGTATATTACATTAGGGAGCTCAGGCTAGATTTCAGGAATCATTTTAGGATCTTAAGTTATCTCAAGAGAAATTCCAGACAGAGCTGAGGATAACATAAAATGCCCTTGACCTAATTGTAAGTGCGTTGATTTATGGAAAACAGGTTTAACTTGGGTAAACCTAATTTCTGCACTGAGGCCCAAACAACTGCTGCATATAAATATCAAAGTAGCAATCCTAATTGAAGACAGTTCTTGATAGAGTGTTTGGAGAGTGTGTATTGAGTGTCTTTGTGAATGAAGAATTATGTGTTGTGCAGTTAGTTCTTCACGTGTGTTTTGTGTATTAAGATTCCTTGTGTGCCAAGCAATTATTTGCTGTATGATTGCATTGGCATAGTGTGTTTGAGTTGTATTTTAATTGTGTCACTCTAAGCTGTGAAACACGAGTGCTGTGTCTCTTGATTGAAGCTGTGAAGCAAGATCAAGATTTGTTTGAAGTGTGTCTTCATTTCTATTTGTAACTTTAATTGGTTGATATCACTGTTGTGATTGAGGGGGAGTGAGTTGGTACTCAGGTCTAATGTTAGGCTGAAGTTGCATTGGGTAGGTCTTAAGTGAAGAGTGCAAACTGGTTGTTTGACTCTGAATTAATTCTGCTTATAGTGAATTTCCTCCCTGGCTTGGTAGCCCCTAGAGTAGGTGTGATTTGCACCAAACTGGGTCAACAATTCCATGTGTTATTTACTACTTTCATTTCCAGTTTATTGTTAAGTTCTGTAGACTGTTCTGTAGTGGATGTCATAACATCCGTTATAACATCAACTGTTTGGTACCTATAATTTCAATTTGTAATACTCAAATTTTACCTTTATTTTTGAATAGTTTTTATTCATGTTTAATTTTTACTGACATGTAGAGTTATGGAGGGATATAATTTTGTGAAATGTTGTAAGATACTTAGTAGAAAGCCAAAGTTCTATTTCCCAAAAGTAGTATTACTTGTACTTTTTGACATTCTTTTATTTTCGCTAATGTATTACTTATTATTTTGTGTGTATTAACTAGTAACTGTATGAAAATTATTAGTAGTTGCGAAAATAGCCCGACCTCTTTTCGTGTTGATATTATGTTATAAGACATATGTTAGATATTGTCTCCGAGGGTATTGTGAATTCATGGGTTTAGGTATTAACTTTATCCATATACATGTAATTTATTTACATTTGTTAAGTTAATGTTATTGTTGTTAGCTTATCATAATTTAAATTTTCCTCAAATTATAGGCGTTTAGTAATGAACCAACATGCTGGAGCATCGCGCTCATCATGTGTTCTTTCTGCAGCTTCATATAAATTTAGCAACTGCCACACTCTTATTTTCACCCTAGCCTTGCATATTATATTTTAATCATACCCATAACTTTTTTTATGCATCAAGCATGGATGGGTGCCGAAGATTTGCAAGAGAGGGATTTTACTCTAAGAAAGGGTTGGATTTGGATTAGTTGATTCTCCATCCACAACCAAGAGGAAGTTTGGCCAGATTTTGGGCAAGCCTGAGCAAGATGGGCATGCATCATGTACAAGTTCTCTTCACCGGGGGGCATTTGGAAGACAAGTGTTATATAGGAATC